TGTGTTAGTTTTGAACAAACAATTATCTATATCCTAATATATTCTATTTTAAACCATAATTAACCCTTTACTAACTATTATGTTATCCATTACATTTAAGTTGTAGATAATGATAACTAATGGAGTAATTTAGAACCATGTATTTTGACTTTTATCAATATTATAACGTCAAAGGTTTCCTAATAATAAATTGATTTTTCACATAGATATCTGTTGGCCTGGTAAATCATACAAAGCATATTGTGAAATCTATGGTCACATTGTAACCAATTAAATAATGCACACAAATATTTTTAATGAATTTTTATCTGAATTTTGAAATATTATCAAAGAATATGTTTTATACGAGTAGATTTCATTAGAAAACACTCAAATTATTGTAACCTTCCTCACACATTCTGTAATGGTATCAAATAGTAGACTTAGCAACACATCTGAGTACGAATGCAAGTCATCATAAATATCTGATAAGTTATGTCATTCGTTATAATTATAAAATTTAGGTGTTTCATTTATTTGAGTGAATATACCAGACAATTTGTTCCTTTAACATTATTCTTAGTATTTTTTACACTTCATGTAAACTTATCTTATAAAACTATTGATCTTTTTTTGAATAGGAATACTTTTTGAACAATAAAAATTGTTTATTGAAGATAATATTTTTCACTGATTGAAACCATGAGTCAATTGAAGCTAGATCACCATGAAAAACCTGGAAGCACTGGACGGCCGTTTCGTCCTAGTATGGGACTCATCTGCAGTGCGCATACACTATCCCACACCCCGCGAGATTTGAACCCAGGACGCAGGATTGGTTGAAGTTAGACATTAATACCGTTGGATGCCAGCTCAGTGGTCTAGTGGTTAAACGCCTGACGCGAGACTGATAGGTCGTGGGTTTGAATCTTGCAGGTTGCGGGATGATGGATGCACACTGCTGAGTAGTCCCATACCAGGACGAAACGGCCGTCCAGTGCTTCCAGGTTTTCCATGGTGGTCTAGCTTCAACTGACTCATGATTTCAATCAGTGAAATTTCTAAAAAATCTCCATAAAACCCCTTCTGATGATAATATTTTTAACATACATTTCAATAATAAAAAAAATTCTTTTTTTTCTAATGATTAATTTGCATATGATTTTATTTTGTCTCCTAGAGTTTAATCATAATTATGAAACAAACAAATTTGCTTACTTTTCACTCGTTCACAAGATTTATTTCTATGTGCTTTTTAAAAAAAATAAGTCCAAACACTGGAACAGCTGATTCTTTGTGTTTAGATGTTCTGGCAAGTGTAAACAGTATGTTGAGAAATAATAGAAATCATGATGATAATGAAAAACGTTTTGACATATATGTATATTCAACATTTTTTCTTGATATTTAAAGTAATCTCATGAGACATTCAATAAATTAGAAGAAGCAGGAAATATTTATGTAGGAATATTAGTACACTGAACATATAATCCAACAATTCCATTTGATTAGACTGTTAGTGTTATGTTTATTACAGAATGTGAATATCTTTAATCAGAGTTCTTATAATGTTATTTTTCTACACTAACAGTTTTAAACAGACAAAATAGTTGACTAACACTTCGTCAGTATTCGCAGTTTCACTTGTTAATGTCAACAGACGAACTGATGTCCTGAAAACAAGTCACACAAGGTGGATAACTTTAACAAAAATGATGAATTTTTTATAAAAGAAATTTTATATATTTTTACATTGATCCATTTAACTGATGCTTTAGTTACAAGTGGTATTTCTCTTCCTTAAAATGTTTGATAGTCATATTGGCCAAATAGTTTGATTTTTTTGCAAAACCATGAGTTTGATTGCTTTAAAAGGGTATTTAACAGCCAGATCAAGTTATTCATAAAATAACAATTGCAGAAATACTAAAGAAATCAGGATGTAGCGTTTAATATTTGGTTATATATATACATATCTTTTTCTGTTATTTTCCTGAAGTTATTTATCGGTGTATTACTGAAGCCAATAAAACTATTTAAAGTTTTAAAAACTAAAGCCTTTCGCAAAATACAATTAAAAAACAAGCTTTTAAAATATTTTTGATTTCGCTACTTTAATGCTTCAATTAGATATTATGATTTTTTCGTTCATCTGTTTTGATTGATACTGGTTAATACAGGATTAAATTGCTGATTGAATTAAGTTTCTATTTAGATCACGTAAATTTCATTAGTTATTATGTAATATAAATCATACAAAGATGTGTGATTACTGCATTATATTGAAGTTTTTGTTGTTATGCCCATCAATGGATCCCATATTTAATTAACCATGAAATTTCAGTCTAAATTACGATGATTTTCAAGTCACTAAGATATCATGTTTATTGATGTAACTTATTAAGATGATAAAACAATTACTGATTACTGGAATAATGGTTATCTAAAGCTTACTAAAATTACCCTCATTCCTGTCTGGGATGACAGTCAGAGTTTTGAAAGCAAATAATGATCTCAAAAAACTTAATACCATAAAAATCAGTATCTTGTTTAAGCGATAGCCTATATGATACTTAATAATCTGTATTAAATATCTACCAAAAAGGAAACTAATCACAAATAAAAGACATTCCTTTGCCACCATCCTTTTTACTTTAATGAATGTCACTAATTTAACAACAATGGTCCATTGTTTTCGTATTTCAACGTTGATTTGTGTTGTTAAATATAAAATACATTGGGAAGAATAATGAGTTAAATGTCATATTTTAATCACAATATTTATAAACAATCCGTAACTATTTGCATTACTCTTCATATACATAAACGAAATAAATTCGTACCGGATTAACAATAAAGTATGTCATTAATTGATAAATATGTAATGAATATAGTTTCCTGAGATTTCCTTAAAACAATTTGTCATCATAAAAATATAAACTATCGAATAATTTTGAATGTTTGACAGAAATAGCTGATAAAGCAAATGATTAAGATAAATAGATTGATGGACAAAACTGTAGCTAGTTGAATGACAAATAAGAAAACATAAGTTTGTTTCAATCATAATAAGAAATTCAATGTTAAAACTGAAAGACAACGAGCAAATGATTCCTCATCTTTTCTATTATTTTGTATATGTAACGAAATTTGTTATTTTTCTAAATAGAAAAATTACATATTGGAAGAATAATATATCTCGTGATTTAATAGCCTCCAGGCACATTCTAATAAACAAATGTGCATTTCTATTAAGGACTTAGAAAAAAAGCATTATACGAAGGTAATACTGATAAAAAAAGCATACCTCCAGTCTCTGTGAAAGAAATAACAGATAATTTATATGGAATGATTATATAACCAGTAAGAGACTGTTGGGATTCATTAGTTTAGATGCTTAGATTGACTTATGAATTTATCTGTTAAAAATACTACTATTGATAAAAATAAATATTTGAATAGCGGAGCTTGATATACATCAGAGATAAAATACCACCAACTGCTTGAATGCCTTCAAAATTCTGAATATTTAAAGATATTTGTTAAATATGTTTTTAATAACAGTGATGAAGAAAGTGAACCTAAGTAACAGCAAAAGAAGGCTACCATAAAGACACGTAGACTCTAAACATTGAGATGAGATCACAGACTGATAAATTTTATAGATGTTGTATTTTTTCCCTTAGTAGGAACAGCAATATTCATAAATAAATGTGTCGTAGCCTTGAATTTACCTTGGTAATCCTTAAGTGACTTTATTGCCTACAATAACGTGGCAATCTCTTATTCTTTTTATACGATATAAAATTGTTTTTTTCCCTTTGTTACCTTTCTTAACTTAAACTTTTATTTAATTGACCTCTATTAATTTTCATATAAAATGCCCTGACAATTATATGTGTGACTAGATTGTTCGAAATGTATAGCGCAAATACTTCACAATTTTCAGATCAACTCCGTATTCTCATTGCTCTATCAAAACCTATAAAAGGGACTTATTGGTTTAAATGAATGTGTCTAAAATTATGTTATTCTATTATTTAATTTTCAGTTGGTTAAGGGTCAATAATAGAATTCGGTTAACATTGATGACCATGTGCTAAAAAACATACTGGTAACATATAAAATCAATAGATTACTCAAATTTTGTTTTTATTTTTTAAAAAAAACAACTTAAAATCCATTTCAGTAGAATCCTCCTTCAACTAGATGTCAGTTAACTGGAAAAATATCCATTACTTTAACACTACCATTAATTGTCTATCACAGTGATTATCAGAAAAAAGCGGCATGACTGACTTAACTTATTTCTAAACAGTTTTTAATTGTCTGAAATTACTTTGAGAGTGTTTTTTTTCTTTAATAAAGGGTAAGTGATATTACTGATATGTTAAATGGAAGTTATAATTTTGATTAACTTATTATTCTGTTGTGACAGTGATTAACACTGTTTACTATGCTTCAGTTTCACAATAAATATCTTTAATTTACTGTTCTATACACGTTATATATACATTAAATTAAATTAAACATAAATGCTTATATAAAGAATTTAAGGCGTAGTATTAATTAGACATAAAATGAACAACAAGCATATATAGCTATCATATAATCCATTATAAAGACCAACCATAGTTATGAACATCTTTATACCCTTAGTACTTGAATAACGAGTTTCCGAAATTTGATTGGTCACATTCTATTGACCAATCAGATGATCATAAATTATAATTCATTGTAAGAATATTTTACTGTGAACAATATTTTTACAAAGTACTCAAATGACGGGATGTAATTTAGTCAGATTATTTAATCCAGAAACCTCAGTATATTTTTACACACATTTCGTTTCAATTAAACAGAAATATTTTGTTTATATGTTATTTTTTTAATGAAAACTATTGAATGTAGATAATTTCATTATATCACAGAAATGAATTCAATATCATAAAATGAAATGTAGAAAAATATATACTAAAGGGTCATTAAGAATTACGTATAATGATTGTTATATATTAACAATGCTGATATTTAGCATTTTTCAATTAAATATTGGAATTTATGCGAATGACCTAAAAACTAATTATCAAGTATTCGTAAATATGCAAGAGGAATTAGGACGAACTGCAGTGGTAGCTGATTTGAGAAAATTGTTTGTTGAAGCAGTGTCCCAAACTTCTTCCAATTTAATTATCAATTCAAATTTTGAGTTACAATTTAAATTTCTTGAACCAAATCCTTTATTTTTTCTTGATACATCAAATCCACATGAACAATATTTACGAGTGAATTCTCGTGTGAACAGAGAAGCAGTTTGTTCATCTGAACAATTATGCTGTTCAACAGGTATTAGTTTCAATGAATACAACAAACAATCCCCGGTATTAGATACAAAGCCATGTATTATAGTTCTTTTACTTTTAGTTGACTTAGTAGATATTCGTAACAGACAGAATAGTTTCAAAGAATCTATATTACAGATTAATATACACGTTTTGGATATAAATGATAATGCACCTGAATGGAGTGCTCATGAATCTCTTACAATTTCAGCTCAACATGTAGATAAAAATTCAATTATATATAAAAAATTGCTAGAACTTAACAAACTTATTCCAAAATTAGACTTAACTATAACAGAACATACTGACATAGGGACACGTATCGCTTTACCTCAAGCTGCTGATCCAGATGCGAGACCAGAGAACACGACTTCCATATATGGAATATATGGACAAACAACTAATGGAGCTTTCTCTTTAGATTGGGACACAGTACCTGCTGACACTGATTCTGCATCACATAATACTGCTTCTGGTTTATGGTTAAGGATAAATATGGATTTAGATTATGAAAATCAGACAGTGCATCAAGTTTTAATCTATGCTTCAGATGCGGGTAAACCTTTACCCTTAACTGGATATCTATTTATAAATATCACAGTGACTGATATTAACGACCATCCACCATTGTTTCTTAAGAAATTTGATGAAATTTGGATTAAAGAACATTCACCAATTCGCACACAAATTTATCGTCCAATAGTAACAGATAAAGATATTACAGATAGATCACGTCTTAAATTTGGTTTCTCACCATCCATTTTAGCTGACACAAAACAGTTATTTCAAATAGATAAAATGACTGGATCAATATCGCTTTATGGTCAAGTTGATTTTGAACATATACATAAGCATCGCTTACCCATATTTGTTACCGATGGCAAGTGGACTGATGAATCAGAACTGATTGTCAATGTTGTGAACTTAAATGACCATATACCAAAAATTCAGTTGCATTCTCCATTGAAATTCAAACAGAATGATCGGAGTTTTTATTTTGGTAGCACCTTGGGTGACAGTCTACAGTCTTCACGATTTCATTTAACTATTGTCATCAAAGAGAACGGTCCACCTGATCAGTTGGTTGCCACGGTGACGGTAACGGATAAAGATCTAACTGCTGAACTACGTGCAAGGGAACTAAACTATGCGAGTTCAGTAAAAGAAATGCCAGTTGTTTTTTCTCAACGTTCCTTACTAAAATCATCATCGGAAATGAACCATTCACAAAATTTTAGACAACCACAGATTCTTGAACCAGTATGCAAAGTAAACCATAAAGCATTTCAAATTAATCCATTACAGGTCGGTGAGAACTTAATGGAGAGTGGAAGGCTAAGGTACAAAATTAATTTAGCTGGAGTTTCTTTAGATAGAGAACAAGAAGCTAGATTTTTTGTGCCCATAGAATGTCATGACAATGATGACTACGATAATGGATATCCCTTTAATGCAAGAAATGACCAAGCTATGTTACATATATCGGAATACAAAAGGCATACTTCAACGGCTATTTTAGAAGTTATCGTCGCAGATGAGAACGATTGTTCTCCAGTTATTAAAGGGCCTTTAACAGGTACCCTAGAGGAGGCGGCACCTATTGATACTGTTGTTCTTAAGCTAAGTGCTGAAGATGCTGATGACCCGACAACAAATGCTGGAAATTTAGGTCTTCGTTACATGCTACTTGGTGAAGGCCAACCTCAGATTACCATTAGTAAACAAGAAAACTCTGATGAAGATGGATCTACAAAACTCCAAAATTTGAATTTACCACCGCAACCATGGTTTCAGTTAAATTCGATCACTGGTGAACTAAAAGCTTTGGTGATTTTTGATAGAGAAATGATAAAATCAATCTCTTTGCCTATTGAAGTTCGTGATGGAGGAGACAACATAAAAAGAATACCCAATATATTTATTGAGAACGCTACAACTAAAGTTAACAGCATTAATGCTACCATAACAATCGATATTATTGACGTTAACGACTGCATACCTTCATTTACTCAACAAATATATGAATTCAACATTAGTGAAGACGCAAGGCCTCCAATACGTATAGGTAAAATTGAAGCATACGACTGTGATATAGACGAAACAAACAGAAATCTTAATTATTGGCTTCAATCAGTTCAACATACCATGCTTACTGAAAAGTCAAATCTTCCAATTGAAAAGGATTATTTTACTAAAAATACTAGCTATCTTCCAGCACATTCCACTTTAACCAACTGGTTTTCTATATCAAAGTCTGGTGATTTATACTTTCGTATGCCACAAATAAATTCTCAACTTAGTAGTTCTACTTTAATTGATCCATTAATGCCATTAGATCGTGAAAAATTAGAATTAATCATAATGGATTTATTTGTTAAAGATAGTGGTAAACCATCATTAACTGGATCAGCTCAGATTGTACTGAGAATATTAGATGTGAATGACAATGCACCAGAATGGGAATTTCCAAGAGTTCAACAAAGAATGATTAATCTTAGTACAGATGCGGCTGTTGGACATAGAATTGTACAGGTAAGTATATCTCTTGTTTATAAATACTAACTTATTAGCATGAATTTAAAGATCATGCAGTAATCCAAATCAAAGATTCATGCTTCAAATTCAATGAAATGAAAAATAGGATTTACATTAAAAGATTTGCGACCTGTAAGAATTCAGTATTGATGTATGACATAAGTATATGCTACGTATAAGTCAGTTAATTCACAAGCACACAACAAGTGTAAATTAGGTCAGGTTCCATATAATAAGCTATGTTTAATGTAAAGGTCAGTGTAGTAATGACGTCTATTTCCACAACTTTTTTCGGTATCCAGTATTACTCAAAACGCCAAGTATAAGACTATTTCAGTTAGTAAGTTAAAATGATTTTTATTTTGAAATCTCTAACATTAGTTCCGCAATTTTTTTAAAGAAACGCCGAAATTTATTACAAATTTAATTTTTGATTAACTGGGAATTACAAAATCAATAAGTGGGTTTCTTGTTAACTCCACAGTTTAATGAGTGAACTCTTAAATTTAAAATATTCCACAACAGACACATAATGAACTGTAAACGTAGATATGTGTGTAATATAATGAAGTATAGTATTTCGTATAGTTTGTTTGTATCGGTTTGGTACTTTTTGAAAAGTCGAACTATGAATTCAAGCTGTATAATACCAAGGTGCTAGTTTTGGAAGATTACATCTGAAAAGTTTAGAATCATTTATGACTTTTTAAACTTCTGTTGACTGGATATATTAGGAAGGTTAGTTTCATGGTTTCTTAAGTATTACATCATGATGACATAACATTTTATTTAAGTAGTCACATCTCAAGCGTTTCGGTGGATTCTAATTAACATTAGAGGTCATAGAGTTAGATACTGTTTTCTGGACGACGATCAACGAGTAGATTTTCCTTGCGAATCTGACAGTTCCGATTTTTGACACAGGTATGGTTTACCGTTAAAGTGGTATACAGAGTTACAGTAATTGTTTTTAATATTAATGTGTGTCAGCTTACGATAATCAGTAAATCCTAATGTATTGTTTAACTTCATTTGAATTTGGTAGTCTATCAACGTTGATTCATTATTTTTATGTTCACTTTCAAATGTTATTCATAATTTATGCAAACAGTATAAAGATATATCGTCCCGTTTTACTGTACAGTGACACCACCGCAACTTTGTTGTTTTCTAATTGTCCAAACGGAAGTCATGTAACTATACAGATGTGGAGTATTATTTTATCCAGCATATTTTCACACAGTTTTACTTTGACAAATAAAAAAGACACACGTAAAGCCATATTACAAAGTTTGATATTATCGTGATTAAATTTTTAACCGCTAAAGAACAAGTTGTAACTGTTTCGTGTGCACAATCATACTGAGACTTCTACTACGTCTGAACAAAACGGTAAAATTAATAACAAATTTTTAAAATGTCTGGTCATTCTGTCATTGAACCTATTTTCATATGTAATTTTCGAACTGGTTAAATATGTATACAATGTAACCTGTTTATTATTCTATAATTTTTAATGGAAAAACGCAATTTATAACAACAATTGTATAAGTTGTATTGCTGAATGAAAGGCGACTAGAATAACTCCTGACATTTCCCTCTTCATCACAAAGAATTGTATAAAAATCCACTAATCTGTTATTAAGATGTATAGTTGAAAATATTCTGTCGAATATTGTTCTGCTCATTTTAATTGCAGTACATATACATTTTAGTTTATTATTATTCTATACAAAACAAATTAAGAAAAATAAGTTTTCTTTAAACATTGACGTTTAGACCATGAAAATATTATCAATTAAATATGTGTAAATTATATGGGGCCTATTGATTTCATCCTGGTAACACATAAATTGTTTAATAAAGGTAAAATCTACATTATTTTGTAGATATGCTTTCCTCAGAATGTTTCTGTTCTAAAATTTTTACGAGAGAAACATGTTGTACAAAAAAGTTTTGTAATGAGTTTTTACAAAAGAAAAATCATTAATTATTCAGAAGAAACATTACTGTTAACATGATATATCAGTGTCAGTATTTTGTTCATTAGTGTATATACAACAAAAGGTATACAAAAATGATAGGTGAGTAAATACTACATGTATAATCAGTAATTTTATAAGTAGACAGTGAGAAAAACTAATCAACTATCATAAAATCATTATAATTACATATGGGGCTATCTAATTATAATTTAATTAACATAATATTTTGACAAATTTAGAAATGGAAATGATGATGGTTAGTTATGGTTTTAGGATGATTTTCTTCAGATAATCATTTTATGGTAAAATAAAAGGCGCTTTTGTTTTAAAAGGTCAATAAACATGAATCATATTCTCAAAAAAAAGAATCACAGACTAAACAAAATGTATTTAACATTATTATTATTACACATTTCTTAAGGATATTTTCTGCTATTTAAACTTATGAAAATTAGACAAATTTATTTCAATATATTCAATAGTTGAATTCATGAGTTAAGTGAAGCTAAAGCACCATGGAAAACCTGGAAGCAGCGGAAGATTGTTTTGTCCAGGTGTAGCTTAGATTGATTCATGAATTTATTTATTAAATTACTATAATAACCACAAAACCCCTCTCTGATTTTAATCTATTCATCTGAAGACAAGTTTTTGGATCTTCCAAAAAGTTGGAGGTGAAATAGTCATCACCAAAACATCAAGTAAAATTAAACTCAGAAAAATAACCAATATATATATATATATATATATAATAACAGGTTATATGTAAAGCCGATTGTTAGATCCATAATTAGGCAAAGCATATATATATATATATAATCTTTATCAATGAATGTCATAATCACTTAATATCAAAGATTATTATGAACTATTTAAAGGTGTCATAATAATATACAGTATTGCAATGAAAATGTTAGATAATGAATTCGTTTAAAGTTTAATATAATAGTTAAAACACTCGAAGCTCTGAAAAATATCCTATTGAATAAAGACTAGATTTAGTTCAAAAATGCTGAAATCTAATTTAGTGTCAAAAAGTGAGTAGCATATTACATAACCTCTATGTTCTTGCTACGGTATTTGTTAATCCTCTTGAATGTATATTGTCATATGCCTTAGAATAAAACAAAACGAAAATAACCCTAGTCGATTGTTTGGCATATAAGTAATGGCAACGATAAATTGTTTTCCTTAAACTCTATTTACCTTTTTCAGGAAGCTTTAGTGAATCTTAGATGGTTTTACAGAACCCAATAATTTTATTACCCGACTGATATAAGTAGGAACATTAAAATTTACAAATATCTTGCTTTCTTACAGACAATAATCATAAGTTAGGCATGTTTATAATATAAAAATTGATAATGAAACAATATAATAAATTTAAATGCTAATTATTTCCCAAGACGTTTACTGACTGCTTATCATTACAAGTTGATAGTTCTTCAGTTAAATAACCGGTCACTATTATTACCATTATGATAAATAATATAACCTGAATACACGTCCGATTTTCGAGTCTAAAATATAACTATTATTTTTACATATTATTGATTTACCTACTTAATTATGGTTATGAAACTTATTAATCACTGATATAGGTTGCCTTTTCTGTGAATACTATAAAAAACTTAGTGAAATAGTACAATGGACTACTTGCTTTTCCTTTTGTTTCTAAACTGACAGAATAAAATGTTGATCTCAGAAACATCCTAAACATAAAACAACATATTATTACTTTATGATGAGCCCGTCATTTTTAATTAGAATGTAAATTCAAAATATATAATCGCGAGTAGCTTCATGTTCTTGTCTTGAAAATCTTCATTTGGTATAATGAATGAATATTTAACCTTCTTCAATGAATAATTCTATAAATAACAAATAACAATAAATCATAAAGTTAATTAACAGAATTCATATAGAAAATGCTTCTTGCCTGTTTTAGATTATTTGATATAAAGAAAACATATTGTTTATCTTTTTTATAAAGAGAAACTAGTTAATAAGGAGGTAATTTTGAAATTCTTATTTTGACACATAAAAATGAGATCAAATCAAATTTGTAAATATTTCATAATAACCAACAACAACAACAACAAGAAACAAACAATTATAATCTCTATTTAAATATACACATGATAAAAACTTAATCTGTTTAAGCCAAAATCATAAATAAACCCATATATGAAATGATGTCCAATTTGACACTAGTTGAAGTCAATCAAATCAATGCTATTTGTGATTACATACAAAAAGAAAGAAACAAACAAACATAATGAAACTGACTTATCGACGAAGATACATAACATATTTACTCAAAAGTAATTTAGAATTTTATGAAAATGATAAACATACATAAACTAGAAGTTGAATACGGGTGAGTTACCAAGCAAAAATAAAATAAGACTGTGTAGTATAAGTAATATATTGTTTTAGCTTCAAAATAGTTAATTAGACAGGGAGTTTATGAATACTGTTCATTATTAAAGTTTGTTCTTAGCAAGGACTAGAAACTAAGGAAATTCAAACAGCCATTCTGTCCTAGTCTGGTCAATATGGATCCACTATTTCAAATGACTTTATCTGTTCTTTTTATATCACAAAGTTACTTAACTTATAACTGTAGACCATTGAATTCTAATTTTTTTGCCTAGATGAACCTTTCATGTTGCTGTGTGTGATGGTTTGACTGGTAGTGAGTTCTCAGTGTCACACTGATCAAGAATTATAGGCTAGCTGAAGATAGTCATTAAGCGTGCCATAATTTTCAATGATCTTCTAGCTGACATCAGTTATGAACGAATACTAACATCAAATTGAACAGTTTTCCAAAACCACCTGACTAGTTAGTTGTTTTGAAACGAAACAAGTACATGTATTTCTACCTTATTCATCGTTCACTATGTTGATAAGATAGTTGCTTTGCATTTGCGACTAGCACACTTTTACTTTCAAAATTTCCTTTCAATCAATGGTATTGATAAGTTATCGTCTGCCTGAGTGTACTTT